AATAAGGACTAGGGGCAATACTCATGCAAGATCATTGGCCCATTGCTTATTTTAGTCAGGTGTTCACGAGCATGGCAAGACTCAAATCCTTATAAGAGCGGGAGTTAATGATGATTGTCTTAGCCATCCAAAAGTGGCAACCATATTTATTGGGGCAACACTTTATCATCAGGACATATCAAAAGAGTTTGAAGTTTCTGTTGGAGCAGAGGATGAAGACTGAGGAGCAACAGAGGTGCTTATCCAAGTTACTTGGATATGATTTTGAGATCCAATAATGCCCTGAACTGAAAACAAAGTTGCAGATGCACTATCGAGGATGACGAACGAGCCATAGCTAACAACTATATTAGTACCGATGGTCCTAGACTGGGAAGCCCTGAGATAGGAGACCGAATAAGATGAGAGTCTGAGGAAAGTAAAAGCTAAGTTGTTGCATGGCCCAAACAGTCATCCTGATTACACTGTTAGGGGCAATTCATCTTACCAAGGACATCATGATACATTCCCAAGCTATTGCAGGAGTTTCAAGACAACGCAATTAGAAGACACTCAGGAGTTTGGAAAACTTACATTCTGCTATCTATGGATTTATACTGGGTAAGGATGTGCTGAGATGTAGAGGACTGGGTGGTGAAATAAGATGTGTGTCAAAGGCACAAGTACTTGGCCAATGACACCAGGAGGATTACTACAGCCTTTAGCTCTATCGAAGAGGGTGTGGGAGGAGGTGACGATAGAATTAATCGAGGGGTTACTGCGTTCAGAGGAATTTTCTGAGATACTGATAGTAGTGGATCGTCTGCGAAAGTATACACACTTCATCCCTCTGAAGTTACACCGGGTCTCTGTGGCTATTGCTTTTATATGGGAGGTCGTATGCTTGCATGGATCTACAAAATCCATTGTTTCAGATAGAGACAAAGTGTTCTTTAATCATTTCTGGAAGGAGTTATTCCGTTTATAGGGAACAATCCTGAATAGGAGCACGACATACCATCCCTAGACAGATGGCCAGACGGAGGTGGTCAAAAAAAGCGTGGAGACCTATTTGCAATGCTTTGTATCGGATATGTCAAAGAGTTGGGCAAAGTGGATTGCCTAGGCCGAGTATTAGAACAATACTTCATACCATGCAATAGCACAGACCATCCCTTTCAGGATTCTATGAGAGATCCACCTCATTTGATACATTATGAGCATAACACTATACCAGTATCTAGTGTAGATTAATACTTAGAGGAGAACGACAGGATATTAACAAATCTCAAGGGATATCTATTGAGGGCCCAAAAGATCATGAAAAGGTTGATGAGCACAGGAGAGAAATACACTTTGAGCCAAGAGACATGATTTACTGAAGTTGAGACCCTACCGGCAGAAGACATTAGCCAGGAGGAATGAGAAATTATCCCCACGATACTTTGGGCCTTATGAGATTTTGGAGCGATTAGAGCAGTGGCCTATCGACTCGGATTACTATCTTCGTCGGCCTTGCACCCAGTGTTTCATGTCTCACAGCTGAGATAGGCAATAGGAGATCAAATACCGTCCTCACTATCCCTGACTTTGACAAAAAACATGGACATCATTTTGGAATCCTGAGAGAAGAAAGGGTGTAGCAAGGGAACACAAGAGCATAGGAGGTACTAATCAAGTGGAAGGATTTGTCAGAGTACGAAGCCATATAGGAGCCATACGAGATGATCATGAGACAATTCCCACCCTTCCACCGTGAGGACAATGCACGACTTTGAGGGAGTATTGATACGCTAAGGGGGTGGCCCAAGGGAACTATTATTCAATATGTAAGGAGGAGGAATCTGTTAACAGATATATGCTACACCAACACAAGTATAATTGCACCTACTCCACTTTCTATCTACTGTACAACATGTCCAGCCAGCTACAATCCTGATCGCTAATTCTTTGTTGAATTGATCTACACCGTTCATTTATAATTACCTACTCAATAGTCAACAGTTTTAAGAGAGGTGAAATAGTATACAATGGATTTCTGCTATTCTTCTCTACATTTTCTTGTAATTACAGGTTATGGTTTCTTCATGGTGTCAAAGAAAATCGGGTTCTAATTTTTTGAAGAGCAATTATTCTCATGCTCTATCTTCATGGCTAGCACAGAAGCTTCATCTATGGCTACTCTTCAGTCGTCCCTGCCCTTAGCAGACGTTCATATACCTCAACAACTTAAATTCCTAATGTCCAATGTTAAATCTATTCTTAATGTTCAACTCATCACCACAAATTATCATGTATGGCGTTTGCAGATTTTTAAACTATTTGGAACAAATGGCTTTACTTTATCTGATTGCTCAATCCCCAAACCCTTTAAATATCAACACTTCTCCAATAACTCCATTGCAGTTAATCCCGCTTATCATACCCGGCAGCTTATAGATAAAAAATTTTCAGGTAAATCTTCAGAAAAGTAAAAATTATAAATGACTGAAAGAGATGAATACATCTACAGAAGACGGCACTCTAATTAAAGCATGTAATATATGATTTATGTAAATGTTAAAATGTGAAAATTGCATTAGTAATTTGATAAAAATTATGTTAGTGGCTCTTCAGTATATTTGGAATGTAGAATGATAAATTGTGTTTAAAATTAAAAGTAATGTTATAACTGTTCGACCGTTCGTTCCCACCTCGTTAGTTTGAGTATCCGGGTCGAATCTTGACAGCCATGGCACCAGTTTGGAGCGCTACGGTGCTCAAACCTCTATCTTGATTCACTGTGGCGCCATATCTAGACCGCAATGGCGCTCTGCTCTCTATCATTCAGCGCTGGAGCACACGAATACGTAGCATTGGGCGCTCAAGTACATAGAGTCGGGGCACTCGGGTACGAGCACCGAGCCTTGTATGAAAAAAAAAAAATTTGTGAAGCAGGGGATAAACCCCTACAATCCCTAGCAAGCACGACAAACTTGAGGTCCGAGGCAGCTAGGGGTGTCAATTCGGGTCAGCGGGACGGGTTCGGGTCGAACCCGGCGCTGACCCGGCACTGTTCGGGTCAACCCGAACCCGACCCGTTTTTAACCGACCCGTTTTTAAAAACGGGTCAGGTTTCTGGACCCGAAACCGACAGATTCGGGTTCGGGTCAACCCGACCCGACACGAATGACCCGAAGTTGACCTAAAATTACTAATTTTCGGGTTAAAATCGGGTCAATATTCGATTTTCGGGTCAAAATCGGGTCAGAAACGGGTCAATCTCGGGTTTTCGGGTCAAATATGATTTTTTGTGTCACTTTCGGGTCAATTTCGGGTTGTTGGTCAACCCGAACCCGACCCGTTTCGGGTTCGGGTCGTGTTTCGGGTCGTGTCAAAAATTGACACCCCTAGAGGCAGCAGAACAATCTAATTGATCAGCATAATTAGATTCCACACATATCAGTGATCTTTTAAGAAGTAACATCAACGAGACAAAAATGTGAGGTCATTAAGTCAAAGTGGACAATATCTTGATAGATAATTATTTGAGCTATTAAAAATGGCATCAAAACAATAAATCAGCCTGAAGATAGAAACTAAGTGTTATACAAGAGAAAGTGTTACGCCATGAAAGCCGCCTCTTAAACCTTAGATAGGACAAAGTGATACATGTAAAGAGCCACGTCTTGAACTTGTAGGGCATACCTCTAAAATCATATATTTCTAGTGGATGATTTTTGGCTAAAGATATTTACAAGGATGTCAGCTACTTAAGTGAGGGAATTGTGATACCCCTTAAGTATAATAAAGCTAAAATTTTAAACATCAAAGCACCGTTTTGTGTAATGATTGAAATTTCATGTGAAACTTAAAAGTTAAGCATGCACGTAAATGAGCACTCATGAGATGAGTGAACTTCTAAGAAGTCTTACCAACGGAATAAAACCATAAGACCATTAGGCTAAAATGTACAATATCTTGATAGTTAAGACTTAAGAGTTTGAGGTATTAATGCAATAACTCTTGGAGGATGAATAAGAGATAATAAACCTATATTGGAAGTGAAGATGAAAAACTAATTATTAATCAAATTAAGAAGATAAGCCTTCTCAACAATGCTACTTGAATTGGGTTGGCATTAAAAAAAAAATCCTAACAATCCTATTTAAACTGAAAAGTGACCAAAATGGAATACATTTCAAGTCTTAGCAAACATTTTAATGAATTATCCTTGACTCTAACCCACATAGCCATAGAGCAAAGGGTAATATAAGGATTGCTAGTCTATTTATGAAGAAGTTCAAGACCAACAATCCAATCAGAAAGCCAGTAAACCTATAGTCAAAAAGGTGCTAGGGAATGCAAAAACCACTGACGAAAATGGACCACACATACTTTACCACCTAACGTGTTTGCTTTACTAGTCACTTTCATCTGCCATTAGAGACGTTCGCTGTATTTCAAGTTTGGACTGAAATTACATACTTCTTGACAACTTTAAGGATGAAATCAAGGACAACGTACACAAACTCTTGAAGCACCAGCTCAACAAGTCAGAAGACCATGTGTTAACAGATCAAAGTTGTACTGTTTCAGCACAGCAATAGGTGACAAAACCAAGTTGCAAAGCAATAAAAATTTTCGAAAGATAAAGCGACCTATAGTGGTAATTGAAGATGGGAAAGAAATCATTAATAGAGATAACATGCCAGCTGAGCAATACTAATCAACCTTGATTTCAATGGAATCAGAAACTTCCAAACAATCCCAAAGCCACACAAAAAAAAAAGAAAAATAAAGAAATTCACTTCGGAATAATAGCAAGCATGTTAAATTGTAGACCTTAACTCGAACTAATTACCTATAGAACACATTATGAAGAACAATGGTTTATTTCTTCCAAAACAAGAAATCTATGATCAAAGGCAAGACCAGCTACAACCCCATCACAATTTCAATAAGCATAGAAAGGAACATCAAAATTTCTAAATCAGGAATTCCAAGAAAAAAATCAAAACGGAATCCAACGAAGCACTAACCCTGATTCAACAAACGGTTACAAACAGGCAGAACCTCCATAAAAGGCCCAAGCTTTTGATGCTCCGCCAACAACTCCGCCAAGTACTGGCTATAGCCATCAACAAATAAACAAATAAAGATTGCCGAACATTAAAAATGATTGCATAGGAACATAGTACAGAGAAGATAGAAAATAATCGAGCGAAAATCTCATTCTTAATATAATCTCATATCTGCCAATACCTATCTACATCAGGACTGCTTCTTATCTGTGGAGAGAGGGCTTTTGCAGGGAAGAAGCTATCACTGTGATTATATAAGCCAGACATGCTTGCGAAGGGAAACGTTTCGCAGAGAGAAAGTTGTGAAAAATGGAAAAAGAGAGAACGAGGGGGCAAAGTTGATGGAAAGAAAGAGAGAGAGGAGAAGGGTGAAGTAGTCGAAGCTCGAGAGGTGGTGTTTTTGGCTATAGGGAGACGTCTTGAGCTCCCTTTGTGTGTTGGAAGCCCTGCAACCCATACAAAAAAGAATGATAAATTGGTTGGAGAAAGGCCAAAAATTAAAGGAGTGCCCAGAAATCGAGTAGCTCCTTTCGATCTTCTAAGGAGGGTTAACTTGGTGCCTGGGTTGTTTGAGGTAAGTACTTAGAATTTTTACAGCGAGAGAGAGAGAGAGAGAGAGAGAGAGAGAGGGAGAGGAAGGACTGAGAGAGGGAGCTGCCGAATTACTAAAACAATTTCTGATTTGAGGTCATAAATTATATTTTAAAAATGAAAAAAAAAATGATGAGAATATTCTAATTTCATCCAAAAAATATTATACTTAAATTTTATTTAAATAAATTTTAAATTCCTTATTTTTTAAGATATATACATACATAAAAATATAGTAATATATATGTAAATCTCAAAAAAATAAGTTGATTATTCATTTTTTTGCTCATATTAATGTTCATATAAAAATTTTTATACTCATAATAATCAAAATTTAATCCAATATTCTAATATAAATTTTTACTTTTAAAATTTATCATATTAATATATTTATTATTTAGTTGTATATATATATATATCATAATATCCTAATTAAATTTTAATTATAATGAATTTTATTATCATTAAATTTATTTTGAGATGATTTAATATATAATAAATTAATAAAAAAATTATTACACTTATCTCAAAATAAGTTCATTATTTTTTAATTCAATCAAAATTTTGGTCAAAATAAATAAAAAATATCGTTAAGTATGAGTCCCTTATACACCGAATAATGATTATGGAGTTCCTTCTTAAAGCTGAACTTGTTATTCAAATTCGAAGGTCCCTTCGCGATGTCTAAATCAATTACAGCAGGCGAGAAAGCAACATACAGTGGGCTGCTCTGCAAGATGCATAGCATGTTATATGTATTTGATAAGTTTGGACTGAAATCCATCCGTTTTGGTGATTTTGGATTAATATTAACTAAAATTTTAGGTAAATTTTATTGAATTTTATTTCAATTATGACTGACTTGGATCAATTTTGAATTAAAACGATAAAAATAGTTAAAGATTGACAAAACTTAGGAGTATGCTTTTTAAAATAGCTTTTTATAAAAAAAAATTAATTATAGATATTTTGGTACTGAAAACCTATTTTAAAAAGAAGTAAAAAAAACGGTCACAAGTAAAAATCTTATATCGTAAAAAAAATTATCTTGATCGGGCACGAATCTCAAGGCGAAACCAAGTTTCAGAAATTAAATTTGGATTCAGCCAAACTCTTATTTTAACAAAACTATAGTCAAATTAAACGTCTCGAAAATACAAACCCAACGACGCCAAATTCAACTCAATCCAAGACCAAATAGGTCTAAATAGAAGACCCAAAGCACCTTTGGAAAGTTCAAATTATAAATTGGATGAACAAACAATTTCCAAACGTGACATGCTTATAATAGAATCAAGCATCTTGACGAAACAAATCCAACGAGCCCAAGTTTTTCAAATTTTGATATTATTAAAATATTCAAATGCCCGGTAATTAAGCGGCTCATGATCAAGGGGATCAATATCGGCCATCTATTTAAACCACTCCCAGCATATCCATGATCTTTCTCATATTTACTAGTCATGTCACTCTAAAAAAATTATAAATAGACATCACATTCCTCTTGGAAGGGGAACAGAAGCAAGGAAGAGAATGAAGAGAGAGAAACTAGTATTCTCTAACCACCCAGACTCCTCTATCATCGTCGGACCATCGATCATCATCGGACTGACGACAGACTTCTGCTCGACCACCAAATGATCTTGGATTTACACCCAACCACCGACTAGCGGCAGCCCTTCCAACCTCTGTCGCTATACTACAGTCTTCCTGACCTTTGTCAGCAGACAAGGGTTTTTCTCACCATTGTCGCCCGCCGACTACGATCCTTCCGACATTCATCGCTAGACTACGATCTTTACAACCTCTTTCATCATACTACGGTCCTTCTGATCCCGATCGCCTGACTACAATCCTTCCGACCACCATCATTCAACTATTATCTTTCCGACCTCTGTCGTCTGCCAACTATGGTCATGTCGACTATACCAACATGTCAATATTAATTCTTCCAATTCCCACCATGTAATGCTCTTTGTATGATGTATGTTTTCTACATCAAACCAATGCCTTTCCCTCATGGGAGATCCTCATTTATAATGATTGCAAGCACTAGTGGATTCATTAAAATTGGGTCAGACCCTTTGTGGTTTTTACCCCTTTTTTAGGGGTTTATGTGTAAAAACTCTAGTATCTCTTATGAATGCTACACACTTTCTTTTATTTGATTGTGTGTTGGATCTTCGTACAAAGCTATGACGTTGAACTTTATATTTCTCTATTGCTGCGAATATTCCAGGACGCAACAAACCTTAGTCTAGAAAACTGATGTTTTTTCTTAAAAACAACAAAAAACAATCAAATTTTGCCATTGTTTAGTTTGAAATAAAAGGGGTGTAAAGTCTTTCAAATAAAGAAGTTTCAAAAATATTAGTATTTATTGAAATAAAAAATGTAGACCAAATCTTTTTGAGTAGTTCGAATTCACCATTTATTTGAATTTAATAGTTTTGAAAATATTTAGATTTAGGTGATTTCTAAATACAATAAAAATTCTCTATTATTGAAGCTACCGCAGCCTGCCACCACTATATAGCACTGTCCGTTGCACCTGTAGCCCTTATTGCCACTGTTATCACCCTTCATTGCCCACCATTTTACGCTGCATGAATTTTACTTCAAGATCAAAAAAAAATGTTGATTTATTTTACACTCATTCAAAAAACTTCAAATTAAAATACAGTATATTTATTTTACACTATTTTATTTTACTCTATATTTATATTTCAGCAAATCAAATAGTCCCTAAGAAAAAAAATAATTTATTACCCATAATATATTAAATTTATTTGCCAATTTATTGAAAAAATATTTTATAATAATTTTAAAAGATGATTGATACCAAAACTGATAATTTTATAATCGAAAAAAAAAACAATTATAAAAACTTCCTCACTTGCGAATGAATAATTAAATAAATGTTAAAAATTTGCATTATTGTGCAAATAAATTGACGCCTTCCAAACTAACGTTTTGATCACGGTTGAAGAATGGTACCTGTCAATTTTTAGCTGTGCTCTAACAGAAGACAGCAGAGCGCCGTGGAAATGAAATGCTTCTTGATTGCAATGCCTTCAATTAATGATCGCACATAAAAGGGTTGGTATGGAAGAAGGAACCACTGCTCTACCTTAGCTCTAAATGATTGCTCAGGCCATGAATATATATATTTTTTATAAAAATATTTATTTTGAGCTATATTTAAATTTCACTTAGGGGCCATTCTATCGTCTAAAAAAGAAATATTGTATAAAAAAATAAGGTATAAAGAGGAATGCGATGTAAAAGGAATACTTAGGGGCGGCCGTTGGTGGGAGCCACTAACAGAAGGTGGCGATGGAGATGGTGGCCGCCGCAGGTGATCAAGGAAGCACTTGAGCTGTATAAAGGTTCTCAATCAATTTGGACGAGAACACTTGTACCTCAAAAACGAACTAAAATGGAATGCATTGCATTTACTTCACTTTATCTTGAATTTACTTTTCATCCAACCAAACACAAAAAATTAAAAAAATAATGAATTTACTTTACTTTGTATTCACTTTTCTTGCAACCAAATAGCCCCTTGGTTGACTATAATGTAAATGCAGTGTAAAAAAATACAGCATAAAGTAAATACGTTGAGGTTGTTTGGTCATCTGTAAAGTGAATGCATGGGATTTTTTTTTATTAGGTATATGTAGAGTAAATCCAACGGCCGTATGACTCCATCCCATGAATGCAATTCTCCAGCCACCCCTGATCATCGTTTTCTAACTATTGTCTTCTACCCACCCACTACTATTGCTCAAATTTGGCCTTCCAAACACCACTGTCTGATTATGATTAATCGACTATCGCTACTCGACTATGATCCTTCAACGACCGTTATCCAACTTTGGCCTTTCGACCATCATATATTATTATCTTTTATATTTTTGGAGAAATATTGAAATATGATTCTTGAAATACAGGCCCCACAAATGACCTGGTATTTTTGCAAGAATTGACAATTCTAATGACCTTTTCATTGTCAAAGAAACAATTAAACAAAGTAACAAACACAGCAATTTGTGCCATAAATCCATATGGCTCCCTCAATATTCTGTTGGAACAAAGCAACCCAACTTAATATATGCATACATGACAAATGCATGGAGATCTTATAATAAAAACTATACATACAGACAAGCCATCCATTATTATCAATAATATAAAATATATATACTTCTTGTAAAACAACTACCAAATCAAAACACAGAAAGAAAGGTGAAAATTTTTACAATCAGACAAAACCTAAATGACAAGGCCACCATGCCTATCTAGGTAAAAGATGAAGCTAAAGCAAGGATTTTTTTTTTTTTCCATTTTTTTTTTCTATGGCATCAATTTAAGTCAAAGACACCTAAAAAGGTGAATGTCTTGCTACTTCTTTGATTGCATGCACATGCCATTGGCACCCAAATGTCTCTATTTGACCATAAGATAATAATCACAATATTACTTTTGATCTCATTTTAATATTGATTTGATAGTGCTTTAGGGTTGATTATGCTCTTAGATCTCACATTTTTTTAGGGTTTAGGATCGATGATGATGAAAGTGATTGATAACTCTGGTGCAAATAGATATAAATAACATAATGAGGAAATTTAGAGTTTCAAGAATTCCAAGCTTTAATTATGATATGACTTTTAAAAAAAGAGTTTTTTTTTCAAAAGATTTTCATTGTTTATGAGCAATGGATTTAAAAATAATCTGAAATCTTTGTCAAAGTATATATATAATCTTCATCTAACCAATAAAAAGTCTTATTTATTTACTTATTTATTTATTTAACAAAAAGGAATTTTATTTCAATCAATAAAATGAGAATACAAGTAAGTCCAACAAAGGACCAAGCCAAACTTAAAATTATAAAAACATCAAAGAAGAGATAACAAACAGTAAAAGGCAAAAGCCAGCCGGGCTAAGTCATTGGCAAGAAACTAT